TTTCGTATCATATGCACGCGAAAACTGCGTATTATATGCACGCCAAACACATGCGTATCATATGCACGCCAAAGTCCATTTTTGCGTATCCATACCACGAGTTTTCGTTTTTATTTGGCATACTATTTATACGCATTTTCATGAGACCGGGCTCATATTTCTTTAAAAAGAGAAAAAGCCAAGAAATCCAAGAAAAAAAAAAAGTAAAGAAAAAACATGAAACCCACAATTCCGAAATGCAATTACAATTTTTTTTTTCTTTTTTTTCTGGTATGCAGTCATCTCTCAGTTCCATTAGTAATGTTTGGGACATACGGAGCAGCAGAAGTAACCATATCAACTGGGAAATAATAATGGATTCATCTAAATGACTGCATCTAAGCAGTCATTTAGGCTTATTTCTCTATTTTAGTCATAACTGCTAAGATAGCCACTTCAGTCACTGAGCTAAAAGATATCTGCTCATCTCATGTCCATCCATGTGTGTCTTACAATGGGAAATTGTCTATTTTAGCCCCATTACAGCTACCTAATAAAGCAAAACACTTGGATTTTATTGTAGGATGTTGTTGGGCATGATGGAAAGCATAAAAAAGTGGCAACAGAAATATGACGTTTAGAAGGTAATTTTAAAACAGCTTCAAACGTGGTTCTTCTAATCAATGCAAATACCCGTTTCATAAAAATGCATTCATTCATCAATTTATATTCAGTAGAACATGGTTTAGCATAGTGATTTATTGTAAATGATTGTAAAAGTGCCGCATCTTTAAGAAAACAACATTCTTCTTGTTGGTCATTGCTTCAAGTGACTTCTCAGACTGTTGCTAGAGTTTGAACCACCTTATGAATCATAAAGTGGAGGGTTTCATCCAATCACTTGATTCGAGAGCTTCTTTTGCAATGAAATCTGGATAATAATGATAATCTTTAGCTGAAAAAACAAGAAATGACTTGTGGTTCAGTGACTTTGGTGATTCGGTACTGAGGGCTTCAGCAATTCATTCAGCTAAGGATTCTGTTTAAATGATTCAAACAGTTTTGAGTGATTCACCAAAAGAATCAGTTCATAAGAGTCACTTGTTTGTGAAGCATATCACACTGGTGGTTGTGCTGTAGAAAGATGTTTATCTGAATTACAACGCAAATTCAACTCTGATTAGCAGGGAATTTATACAGAGTGTTCTTTTTGAGTGATTCATTAAAAATAATCAGTTCATAAGAGTCAAACTCAACTCGGTTAAGCAGTTCTTGCTTCATTTCAAGTAAAGCAAGAAATGATTTGCGGTTCAGTGAATCAGAGAATAGGATGTTTCATTACTGCTCTGACAGTGATTCATTCAGCTAAGGATTTAACATTTTTTAAGGATTTTTCCGCTAAGAGTTTAAATGGTTCAAACAGGGTTTGTGAATATTTTTGAGCGAATTATGGATCACATTATATTGGTGGTTGTGCTGTAGAACAACGTGAATTGTGAATCATATTAGTTGTGGTTCAGTGAAAGATTCTGTTTAAATGATTTAAACAGTGTATGAATCTTTTTAGCAATTCATTAAAACAATCAATTTATAAGAGTCACTTGTTCGTGAAATTACATTACACTGGTGGTGTGCTGTCGAAAGACGTGTTTATCTGAATCACACTGCAAACTTAACTAAGCACAGGAAACATTTCTTGCTTCATTTCGAGCAAAGCAAGAACTGATTGACGGTTCAATGAATCAGCAAATCAGATAAATCTGTAACATTGACAGATTTAATGATTTATTCAGCTAAGGATTAGGTTTAAATGATCTAAACAGAGTTCGTCTTCTGAGTGTTTTATTTACTTCATAAGTGTCACTGGCTTGTGAATCACATTAAACTGGTCATTGTGCTGTAGAAAGACATGTTTATCTGATCACACTGCAAACTCAACTCGGGTAAAATTGAATTTCTTTCGCCGGTAAATTGAGGAAACATTGGCGCTAAGTGTCTCTAAGCCCATGAGCTATTATTATTGTAAGGGCAACTTCCCATGCAGAGGTTGTTCGAGATGTCAGGAAATGAGCAGGTCTGTTGACGTCAACGCTTGTGTAATCAATTGTAGCCTTACATTGGATTGGTTTTGTTTCGCATTGCCCTTTGTAATAAAATGTTTTGAAAATCCAAAAAACAGAAAGAAAGCTGCTGAAGCAAGTTATTGGGTCTTGAAATTTCAATAACAATTAACCTTTCGCAGACCCAGAGTGCAAAAATATTGACTTTATTTCTCACCGAATGCCATGTGTACATTCCCCGACAAGCACCCAACGGATCAAAACGTCTTTGATCATAAAACAGTCATTTAAGTGCTCTCGAGTCCTTAAAAAAAGGACGCCACATGGCCACAAAGTCACACGTCATCCAAAGTTTTCCCAAAATACTCCTAAAGGTGCTCTGATCTATTATCATAAACATCCTCACGTTTCTTCACTGGCTGTGAATACGAGAGCCGCCAGCTGCAGGGGGATGCTGGGAGTAAATCATGTCCAAGTGGAAATGTCAGAGAGGGCCTTTCAGACGGGGCTGCCTTGAAATCGATGAGAGCCAGAATCATGTGGTTAATCAGCCCCGCGTTAGCACTCAGGAGTGAAGGAGCAGATCAGAGCCCCGCCGAGAGAGCGTTCTCGCTCCATACCGAGAGGAGATTGCATATACGCTTCCATGCTCTCGCACCCGCACTCAAGGGCGACTCCTGCTGTTCGCCTCCACCAGAACTCTGCTTCAGTGCTTACGTGATGACTTTATGATAATATGACAAGACAGACACACACACAAACATTCTCTCACATACACTCACTTATCTACCAGATCGACCAATCCGGTCTCAGTCATGCACACTTGTTTTGATGAGGTCTGTGGAGGGCTCTCAGCCTCCTGATGAAAGCTGTCCGTCAGCGCACGATACGCTCTTCAGCTGAAGAAATACACTGATTCTTTCACCTTTTCCAGGTCGAAATCACCTACAAGAGAGAAATTACTTGATTACGGTCTTTTAGGATGGAATATGTAACATTAAAACTAGGGATGGGTACCGAGAACCGGTATGTAATTGGGTCAATACCGGACTACCGATAAGCTTCAGGACAAACGATACTGTTATCAATACTTGCACTGTTTTATCTCCGTATGCTTCGGTGTTAATGGCGAATTAGAAGCTGCTGCTTGTCATTTTCCATCACATGGCCAACGTTTGCTCGACGCACATGCGCATGGGCGGTGCATGTGCGGTGTGCAGACAAACAGTTATGGCGGCAAAGTTGAAACGTTCAAGTGTGGGCTTACATTACTAAACTAAGCGACACCAGTGTCAGATGCAATATATGCAGTAGTGTAATAGTGAACAAAGGAGGTAACACTAGTAATATAATGAAACATTTACAAACAAAACACGTCTTCTACCTCAAGCAATTCGCTGTATTTACTATGTTTTCGTCGTCTTCTGGCTTCAGCTCCGATTGCAACTCCCCTGCCTCAGCCTCAAGCGAAGTTAACGTTCATTAGAAAATAAGCGAAACAGCTCATGAAGACAAACAGGTAATTCAATGAGTTGGATTTCACATAAGCATTAGTAGAACTAGTAGATTTAAGTTAACGAATCGCCTAGGCTGAATCTAGTAGATCATGTTTCTTGATTTTTTTTTTTAAATAAAACAAAACTATGACCCAGACATTTTTTGACAGGTTTTCACAAGATTCACCAAGAAGTGATGTTGTGCACATAAGCAACTGTAATTAATTAAGTAAATGTAGAACCTGAAATCAATAAATACTGAAAATTGTAGCATATTAAACAACACAATGCCACTCTATTTAATCAATCCATTCGACTAATCAATTTCATTTGTACTTGAAAACATGAAATGAATCCCACAGGAGGTATTAATATAGATAAAACACTCAGGCAGTTCAGGGGCGAAACAGATTGTGCAAACAGTTGTGGGTGGTCTGCTTGCATGTGCACAAAGGACCTTGTTCTGAAGAACAGCGCAGAGGAAATCAGGCGTATGGGACACACATGGGCAGACACACACTCCTCAGGGAGACAATTTCTTTAGTGAAAATAAGGAGGAGTCCTGGAAGAATACTGAGCATGACTCCAGTAGCACGCTTATGTATCAGGATCAAAACTATAGAAATAATATTACAGAAATAAAATCAGTGCGTAACACTGTTACATGGTGAATGAATCATCTTATTGCTCGTCTTTATTGATGCTGAGCTTTTAAACACGTTGTAAAAGCGCCCCCTCAATATTGTCTCTGCTGAATCAGCGTTTTGATGTGCCAGATGTGTGTGATTCTGCTGTAAAAGTGCCCATGTTGTCCAGTGTGTTTCCCTCCGGCCCGTGTTACGTAAACAGATTAACCAGTTGACAGAATTAATTGTCATCAGTTTAATGAAGTCTATCTCGCTGATGAACATAAAATCACATGTGCGGTTCTGCGAGACGGTGCGTCGTTACGCAACAGTAAAAAGCTGCCTGAAACCTGACAAGCTGTCAATGGGATGAGGCCGAGCCGCTGGTCTGTGTGTCTGAAAGCGACGGCTGCAGTGCTCGGGGTTTAACTCACCTGTTTGAGGAACGCTGGCCAAAAGCTGTGCCATCTTATAGTACTCTTCAAACTTCTTTGGCTTAGATATAACCCTGTGAGAGTGAAAACTGGACTCCAAATCATGACAAAGCATCAGATAAATGACAAGACATGAACATGACAATTCTATACAAAACTTTCAAAAATTATGCTTTGAAATATTTGCTGCTGATTTTTGGTATTTGTTTGAATACCATATTTGTTTTAAGCACACAAACTATTTATTTTAGTTTTTATTAGTATATTAAATCAGTTATCAGCTACAACAACCAGAATTTTAATATTAGTTCATCCCTAGTAGCCTATATTGAATATTTATTGGCCAAAATTGGACATTTAATTGTGATTTTAAATGAACTTGTAGCATACAATAACTATTTATTTTAGTTTTTAGTGAATTATTTTCTTCCTTTGTAAACAAAAGCAGAGAAGATTGATAATGTCAGACATTTATTGGTTATTGGCCTTAAGTGTTTATTAATTTCCTTTGTTTAGAAAAGAAAATAGCATAGACTCATAATATCAGCCATTTATTGATTACTGGCCTTACTGTGAAAATGATTATTTATTGACTGATATTTAATTCTAAATACAAACTATTTTAGTTTTTAAATGTAAATTTTCTCTCTTTTTTTCTTTTTTTAATAAATGTATAATACCAGCCACTGGTATTGCCTATCTGCCTTAATGTAAAAATGATTGTTTATTTGCCAATATTTGATGTTTCATTCAAAATAAAAACTATTTGTATAATTTTTTTTTTGTTTTTTGTTTTTAGTTTATCAGTTTTCTTTAAGGAGAGTAGATGTATAATATCGGCCATTTATCCGTTATTGGCCATAAACAAGAAGATAATGTAATTATTGGTATATCAATTTCAATTTCATTACTCCAGCAGTTACTATTTATTAGTTACATACTTTATAAAAAAACAAAAGACAGTATCAGCTGATATTGGATATTTAATGGTTTCTGCCTATTCCTATATTTTAGTTTTTTACAGTGTAAATAATTTCCATTTGATTGATTGATTCATTCATTCATTCATTCATTCTTTTACAAAGAAAGTACCATAGGTTTATAATATCAGCCATTTATCGGTTATCGGCCTGAATGGGAAAATGATTATCAGCCGATATCTGATATTTCATTCTAAATACAAACTGTTTATTTTAGTTTTGAGATTGTATCAGTTTTCATTATAGAGTTATAAAATCAGCCTTTTATTGGTTATTGACCATAAACAGGAGAATACTGTAATTTCTCAAGATCAGTGCATCCCTAGTAATTAGCCGTTTAGTAGCTACTACCATCGAGTAGTTAAAAACCAGCAATGTGTAAAGGACTTACGGAGGCCTGCTGCAATATTTCTTCAGAAGAAACCCAGACAGCTCCTCTAGAATGGGCTGACTGTGCAGAGCCACAAACTGCTCACGACACACCTGAGGAGTGACACAGAGCACTCAGTCAATCATTATGCACGCTAATGCGCCAGCTTCAATGCTATCTCCCTCTCACCTTCCCCTTTCTCTCAGACGTTTCACCTCTCTCCTGTTTGAACTTTCCCATTTTAAGAGGAATCTGTGGTCACAAAGCATGTCAGGGAAAGACTCGCAGACAATAGACCACTCACAGAAGGAGAGAAGGATGGGAAAAGATAAAAGTCCAAAAAGGGTCTCAATTCAAACAGCTGAACACGGTTTAAGGGAATAGATGGAGTTATTAAGCTTCAGAAGTTCATCGCAAGTGTCACATGGAGGTTAAACTTATCTAATGAAGGTGACTGTAAAGTAAGTAAAGCCAGTGAAACAACACAGTGGTGAATAAATGACGACATAGCTTTCATTTTTGGGTGAATTATTCCTTTCGGTTATCACTGGAAGAGAAAATCTGGTTCTAAAACAGATCTTTGAAAGGAATCAGCTGAGGCCAATAAAACAAAAAGCTAAAGTAAGCAAGCTTTTTACTTATTTTTTTTTATATTTGAAGATAAGTTAATGACAGCTTTCCAAAATTTTCTTCAGTTGAGAGGATGAGTGGTATGGCTGTTCAATACTGAAATAACCCATGCTGACAGGGTTGGTTATTGAACATATGGTGAACTCAGCATGCAAACATCTGGCCGTTAAGCTGACATGGTAGGGCTGCTTAGTCATTCCTGTTGAAAGAATATGCATTGAAAAACATTCGGCAGTGAACACTCTGTTCCTTACACACCCTGTTCATGGTGTCCACCGTCACAGCATGGGTCCAATAACAGTCATGGACGGACACAAACGTCAGACCAGCCCTGCATGTTTCAAGAAAACAGGAAGATGTACTTGTACATACCACACTTCAAACAAAAACACCACCAACAAATAATAACAAAAATAATGAATATTGTTGTTAATATAAATTATTCATATTATAAAATGTATTATTATTTGTAAAATATTATTACATTACAATTAATAATAATTATTATTTGTGTTTTACATGAATAAATATTAAATATTATTTTTAATAATGAACATTGATATGTTGATATTATTATATGAATATAATATTTATTATTATTATAATAAATATTAAATATCTGGAGTAATTTATTGTTATCAACATTAATACAAATATTACTATTGATAATAAAAACAATGAATAGTTATTAATATTATATTATTAATAATAAAAGCATGCATTATAAATAATTTACTACTATACAATATTAACACTATTACTGATATTATTAATATTAATGAATATTTTAAATATAATGTATGGTATAAGATGTATTATTAAATATATGCATTACAATTTATTTATGACTTTATAATAAAAATATTTGTATTAAAATAATTTATTATTATTTTATTACTACTAATAATAATAATAATCAATGTTAATATCGATCGTGTAGTTATTATGGTGTCAAAAAGAAATAAAAATCATTAAAATCAGTTCTGCATATTAAACAAAGACACTTAAAAACAAAATATAATCTGTATCATATATGTCATAAAAATAAGGTAATATTGGTCGCTCTCTATTCTTAATACTTGATAAACGAACTCTTGGTTTTCTGTTTCACACCCTTCATGTATTATTTGCATGTGTATGAGATATAATACTGACTGAAGAAGCAGAAACAAACAATGCAGTCTCTTAATTTCTTATGTTTGCTGGCACTACAATTTTCATTTTGAAAAAATACAGCGCATGAAAAATTCGGAGACTGTACAGAACTCATGAATATTTAATGAGGTAACCACCGTTTAGAATATGATAGGTGGTTTGGTGTTAAGCAACCTGCTGTAATGTTCAGGCCCAGAGTCTAAAAACATGTTAACTCGGAGTTAAAAGCCTGTCTGAGTGTGGGATGTCCGCAAAAAAAGTCAGCTCATCACCTGTAACAATGCAGTGATGTCAGCATCATGTTAGTGGAGTCCAGACAGTGGATGAAATTAGGAGGGAAGGCGTTTTTCTGCTTCATGCTGTCTGGTTTCCTAAATAAGGCACAAGAAGAACAAGCTCAGTCTTGGTACGAAGCACACTTGGGTAATTAAGGCCAGCGTCGCTATCTTCTCGCTGGGCAATACATACACCTGTAACGCCAGGAGCCATACATCATTGAACAGGTAGGTCAGTCTTAATTATCATCCAAGACAGAGACACACAATGAACATAGAGCACCTGCTGGACCAGTAAAGAGTAAAGAATAATGTGTGTGCTTATTATGGCTGAAGATATTTCAGTGCTCCATAACAGCCAAAATAGTTCAGAATAAAAAAAGTGATACTTTAGGCCAGATACTCTCAAATTGCATCATGGGTATTATGAAGTAAATCCCCTTCCTTAACCTGTGGGGTTAAATTACACCACGTAACATAACTAACTAAACTGTTGAACGGTAATGTATATAATATACATACGGGGTACTGAAGCTATCAAGAACTAACTATCCGTCTACAATCTTTAGGCTTCACGGAGCGACATTGAGCTGGAGAGAATTTCTGGGAACTGAGCGAGGGCTTTAGGTCACTGGCCACAAGAGAGCTGCTGCCACCCTTGTAATTTCGTCATTTATTCAAGTCTACTCATTAATGAGGGTCTATTCAGCCTCTAATTAGAGCACATGAAGGATCTTTGAATCGGTCCGTGGTCTGTGTGAAACTCCAGTCGGGTCTTCACTTTTGACTGGTCTCGAACAAGCTTCTTCAGCTACAACCCACATGGAAACTGTCCTCTGGGAAATTAGAGTGCTTCTATTGGATAAGCTTGAGATTTCTTTCAACACCTAGAAGTGTGACTGACATCTGGTACATTGGCATCAGAAGTACATATCTGAAGAACGGCCCTTCAGCTTGGTCTGCATGGACACCCAAGGCCATTTCTCGAAGCCTGAGAGCGACGTACAATCACAGTGGCGGCTGTCAGTCTAGCCGTGAGCACTCTTGGCCTCCTTAGAGACACGGGAGATCCCTTTTCAGCACTCCGGTTCCTGTGATAGTCTGTACTGGTATGTTTGTCTATCACAGGCAGTGATAGAGAAATACAAGTGAGGCCCGTCATAAGTGGTTTTTAATCACGTCCTTGTGGCTTTTGGTGGAAGGTCAGCAAGATAACTCCCATCTGAGGCTTCTCCAAGTAGTATTAGCCAAGCCTGGGTAACGCTCTGCAAGGATTGAAACTGTGAAATGAGGTGATGGCATTAAAACAGCAGATGCTTGCGTACGGATTGAACATTTGGGGTTTTGGTGGGAAGCACAGAAATGTTTGTTTAATAAAAGATGACGACATGTCTTGGGAACATATGGTAAAGCGGTCATCATATACCCACCCTCATGTTGTTTAAAACCATTATGACCTTTAATCTTCTGTTTAACACGAATGAAAAACGCTTTAGTCCTCATGTTGTGTTCCAGTCATTTTGACCAGAAAGGATTTTTTATTTTTCTTGAAAATGCTAATGTAATCACACTGGACTAAAACTTGGTGACTTTGCTCACACATGGTATAACATCACCCCCATGTTTCCAGTCAAAAATGACCAGCCTACAAAAAATGCTTATAAATCTCTCATTAAGCAATATTATCACCAAATCTTGGATTCAACTTTTTTGTCAACTTGTTTTCTTTTAATTAGCAGTTTTTGTACTTCTTTTTTTGGAACCAACTGGCTGTAGGCCTCAAATTAAAAGTGACAAAAAGATTGAACACCACAAATGTAACAAGGTATGTTGCATAATAAATGATTTAAATACAATTTTTAAAAGGCTGGTCATTTTTCACCAGGAATACCAAATTAGGTAAAGGCTTTTCAGCACAGCAGAATAGATCAACATATACTTGCTCCTCTTGTGGTGATACGGTCCTTTTAGAAGCTTGAGAGCTTCAGTAGCCATTCATTCTAACTGTATGGAAAAGAGCAACTAGCACATACTTCAAAATATCTTTATTGTGTTCCACAGAAGAAAGTAAGTCTTTCAGGTTTGAAACATCATGAGGGTAAACAGACATCCTACTATCTCTTTATAACACTGTTACATTTAGAAACAACACAATTCTAACTCAAATTAGCCCAGACACACGTAGTCTCCGATGCAAGTACCCATCAACAGATGATAAAACCAGCAATGATGTTAATTCATTGTTCATTCCGGGTAGCCCTCCATTCAGTAAATGACATACAGGATGTGCGGCAGTGACATTTCAACACGAAATGCCACTCTTCTCATCTGAGGGACTTTCTGCTTCTTTCATATCCTCCAGGGGTTTCTGTATACGATAATGAATTCTGGCCAGCCACTGACGGACCCAGAATAGTGTCAAACACTTGCGTGACACAGGCGTTTCCTTTAGGTGTTTCTGTTACTTGCATATTTGCTGTTTAAGCACTCCCATTTAATCGTTTAATGTGCTCTGTGGGGTACGGTGCAATGATACTGTACATAAGGAACCAAACAAGAACGAAAAGTATAGCAAAGACTTTTAAAGATACTTGTTTTCTGCAGTATTATTATGTTGGCTCATAGCACCTATAATATGTATAATTTATGTTATGAAATTTATAATGCCAAGAGAAGTTCAATGTGCAATATTGTTAAGTCAAAACACAACACAGTTAAAAAAAAAAACTAAACTAAATTTAAAAATAATATAAAAAGAAACACTAAATATAAGATCCAAACTACAAAAACCCTGATGGAAATTCAGGATTTTTAATGGCATAATTATACAAAAATAAATGGTCAAGTAAGGTGAATTCATTACTTTTTTATTAGACTTTACTGCATCGCAATCCCCCTTCCCATTTTAATTAAAATACAATTCAATACAACTAATTTTCATCAAGATTTGATGGCTGAATTATTGTTCAAAATGTCTTGAAAAGATTAAGAGAACAGAAACATCATTTAAAATGCCAAAGGGATCACTATCCATATAAATAATACAAGTAACCAGAATCCATGGAAATGTGGGGAGAGGTCAGAGGTCAACGTCAATACAGCGGTCAAAGTAAGAGAGAGGTACTTACTCATTGGCATCATGACTTATATGGATGCTCAGGTTCTGCATGCTGCCCTTGAGCTGTGAAAAACAAGAGAATACGAGAGAGTCTGAAACTACTAACTACTTTTCTTCCTGAAAAGGAAGAAACTACTATGAAATAAAAAGCAAACAGCTTATGTAGCAATGTCACTAAATTTAAGCCCAAATAATTAATTGTTTACAGGGGACTCCATCATGTAAAAATCTGCATTAACTGGGTCTCTATGTTAAATGTTCCAAGTTCAAATATGATATTAGTTGACCTTTGTCCAACTTACTACTTTGACCTCTAATATAAACCAACGCATATGAATATTGCAATAAATCTCCTCATCTTTCTGCGCCAGACTGACCTTCAAGCTTCCTATTGATCCTCTTCAAAAACACTGATAGAAATTTGAGTGAGTATCTTAATCTGAGACTGACCAAACATTCCCAGAACCCCCAACAAACCACTAATATTGACACAATGTCATTAAAGAACAGGAGCTTAACCTTAGTAAAGGTTGGCGTCCATTATGCAGATGCTGACGTCGGGCTACAACCCATGATTGAGTGACTGCTCTCGATATAGGAACTGTCAGCGTCAGGGGCGCTTCCATCACATTACTTCTTTGATTAGTCTCTACGGTGCCCCAGGAGCCCAACCCAGTGCGGCTCAATTTAACGGCGAAGTGAAGGATGACAGGGAATGAAGTCTCGTACAGTGGCAGATGGACATAAACAAAAGGAAAATGTATAAAAAGTGCTGACGGGGACGGTAAGGTAAAAGGTTTTGCTGGTTATTGGTGTGCAGGTTCACTGGGACGTAAAGGGGGCATGAGCTGGGTAAAAAGTGGAGTGAGAAGGGTTAATGTGTCCATTTTGGATTTCTGATTTCGTGGAATGGGGTACGACATGCGTGTCAAACTCCGCTCTTGAGGGACACTTTCCGGCAGTGTAGCTCGAACCATCTCCAAAACACCTGCCTGGAAGCTTCTAGTAATCCTGAAGACTTTGATGAACTTGTTCAGGTGAGTTTAATTAGGGTTGGAGCTAAACTCTGCAGGACAGTGACCTTCCAGGAACTAAGTTTGACACTCCTGGTGTATGGCAAAACGAGCCTTTCAGTTGCAATGATTTATGAATCCATTAAGGCTCATTAACAGGATCAACAAAATCGAGGAGACATTGAGGGGTGTGATGGGGGTGAGCCAGGCCTTCTGACACGTAAAGAGTCAATGTACATCCTCAAAAGCTCTTGGGGGAAACCTTACTTCCCATGGGACTTCCAATATACTCCACTGGTTCTGGCAGCGCAACTAAAAATTCTGATTAGGGAAGACAGGACCAAAGCATGCCATCTTGTCAAGCTGGCATGATGCCCAGACAGTGGAAAAGGGGTTCCTATCTAAAGTGCGACGACTCCTGGTTTGGACAGCTGCCTGTGCTTTTCCTGCTCTTGAAAAGAATGCATGTTGCAAAAGAGCAGTTGTATCTCCTTCACTTGTTCTCTACGTGTCCTTTAATTCAACAAGATGGCCGACTACAAAAGACCTTGCATGAATCTAAAAGCCAAAATGAATTTTACTGGGACCAAAAGTAGAGAGTATGACAGAGAATAATAAAGAAAGCAAGGAGGAACAGGATCGAGACAAGTTGCAGTTGGGATTTGACCAGTCTCCTGCATAAGCACCCTACATTTTATGCCAAAAGGGCAGCATCTAGTTTCCAAGCCACCAGCTATCCACAAAGCTGCCACCTCTTTTATTGAACACATCCATCTGAGCCTCATGGTAAGACTCTCTAATCTTTCAGCATCCCCTAGAGAGAGACTTTACACCACCGGTGACCTCTTGCCCGGTTAAGTCCTCTGGGAATTCTCTTGAAATATCCACCGTATTTATCAACGCTTCTACATAAATTCAGTTTTGCTGAAGAATCAATTAAAATGGATGATTCATGTTCCGCTGCCATGCACAGTCCTGATCTTTCTGATATTAAAAAAATCTTGTGGTGCACATATTAAAGCACCTCGTTTCTGATATGACTTTCAGACCGGATGAAACTTCGACTTTAGCCAATTAGCAGGATGTAGAAGTCAAAAAAGTAGCGTTTTGGGTCATACGAGTTGCAGTGGGGCTTGACATCCTTTTGGGATCAGACTGTAGACAAGGAACACCACAAGAGCCCCAGGAGAAATCATATTTCACCTTTTTCCAAGGACACCGCAATTGTTTGGCCACTAAAGCAAAGGCGACAAATGATTCCCCACAGCTTTCATCCCTACTGGTTGTCTTCCTTACAGAATTACCACACTGTTTTTCTTCAACTTGATGTATAGCCAGTGAAAGAAACATTTCAGCCTCCAAAAGTGACCCCTAAACTGATTAACAGCAAACAATCACATTAACGAGCTTTACTGATGCATATCCCAAGTCTGGTTCCCTCCCAAGTGTAATTTCCTTTCCCCTATCAACAGACACAGTGCTGCACAGTGACTGAATAAATACTGCCGATTTCACCCTGGCTTATTTGTTTTCTCTTTTATGACGGCATTAAAATCCCATTTCCCTGGCATCTAATTAATATGCCATTTCCCATGTAAAAAAAGATCAAGGGTAAGTTGCAAGAGATTGAATCACGGAGAGGTGACTTCAGATGATGTGTCTCCTTGATGCAGAATGAGAAAACGTTTCCTTGATTACATTTGAAGTAGGGGGTTGAGATAAATACGGATTTGGATTTTCTTAAAGTTAAAGAGTTGCACGGCAGAAGAAAAACACCCAGATAGGTTATGTAGGAGAAGTTTTATATAACTTAATACGTCAAATTGTTCCAATCACCTTCTTTTTTTTTTGGAAAACCAAACACATAATTATTAACTCTTTTTAATGGTGAATTTTAAAGTCAACTTAAAGCATCTTTAACAACCCATTTTACAAGCCATATTTTTTATATTGGAGCACTGATCACCAGAAGAAGCACTTCCGCTACCAACTGGACTGGAGTGCAAAGTGCTGGATGGCACACTGGAAATCATTTTTAAAATTGATTTTACTAAGATTTTACTGTTAAAACATGCTTAAATACCTTTTTTATATCAAAAATCATTATAACACATTTTTGCTGACACTTTTGGGTGTTTTATTAAGTGTTTAAGTTATGATTAATCAAGCTATGCTCACACTGACTTCATTTTGTGCTCCACGGAAGAACAAAAGCCATACAGGTTTGAAACAACTCAAGGATGAGTAAAATATTTTAATTTTTAGGTAAGAGCTATTGAGTATTAAGTAAAAAAGGGTTGGTTTTAATTATATGGTGACTTTGGGGTTCCTATTCAGAAGGAATAAATAGCCGTGATGTTTAATTTCATGTTAATAAAGAAGATCACGCCTGCAATACGGTCTGCATGGAGCTTAATGCAGCTCACGAATCAGAGGTTCTTAGACCCTGTCAAACAGTTAAGCCTCAATCACAGCAAAAATCCTCATTAGCAAACTGCACTGTGTGAAAAGGACCCAGATACCTTGAAACCACAAAGCTGATGACTACTACGGGTTCCCCTTATACATAAATAACCCAATATGCTAATGAAACGAAAACTATAATAAAAGAGATGACCATAAAAAGTGGCTGTAAAACTCATCCTTTACACAACACCATTAAGGGTCATTAAGATCCATCATGCAGGTTCATCTATGTAGGGGGTGGCACGGCTAACAGGTGGAGGTAGAGCTGGGGCTCGGAGGTGATTAATGGGGGTCTTGATGGTGCTTCATTAATCTGGTCAGTGTGACATTTACAGGGGAATTGCAACCCCCTGGTATGACCGCCTAACGTGCCTCCACAGCTAGGTGAAATAAATATAGACTCACTATACTGTGGCTGATGCTCTAAATGGTGTTGTACATGATCGGCCTTTGACCTTGACCTATCAACCGTCTGCTCAGGATAAAAGGGTGCGCGATTCATGAAGAATGTGTGTAGTAACAGACCTAGTGGCCAATGTAATATATCACAACATCGACCACCTTCAAATGCTGGAACGATACATCCATGCCTTCATTAAAGTAAAACATGCAAGAGGGATGTGCAGGTCTTTGGAGGAAAGAAGCCAGTAGGCAACTCAGTATAGAAAAAGGGGCATAAGAACTGTCAAACCTCATACATTTCAGCTAGGCTGATGCTTTCATGCTAAATTTAGCAAGTGAACCATTATAATTTGAATATTATCATAATTAAGTTAAAAAATAAGCCCTGAATAAATCAATTATATTGTCATCAAAGAGTCAGGGTTCACATGAGTAGGATTTTAAGATGCTGAATGCCATAAATAGCCTTCACACCACCTGCTCAGTAAAAGAACGGTGAAGAATTTATGAGGCCGCTAATGATGACCTTTATCACAAAATGGTGGCGGTGGCGGCGGCGGTGGCAACAATGCTACAGCGAGAATCAAAGTTATGCCTTCTTTCTTTGCGTGAACATTTGGGCGGTGTTATGCAAATCTTCCCACACAGTGACGTAGACATGTTTAAACAAGGCGTTTTAGGAGGGCGTGGACAAGTCTTAACTTTTATAAAGAATATCTCTTTGGGTTTGAGACTTTAGTCTTTGCAACTTTAGGGATCTTATCTATTCACAAACAGCTTGTAACACTCCAAAGAGAAAAGAAAACTTGAAATCGCATCATATGACCCCTTTAAAAATACATTTGTGTTATTGTATAAAAAATGTTATTATTAAAAAGAATAATAATAGAAAGAATGCCATCATATCTGCTTTAGGTGCTGGTCTTAGAAGTCAACATCTTAAAGCATTTGGAAAAGGGCAAGTGACACTTTTATAAAGCAAGAGCCAACAATGGCATCTTTACAACAGCAGAACCCCACTGAGGACAACACAGGCCATTAGGGTGCTATTACACATTATTTCCACTGCCTAGATACGCGGACCAGAGGGATGAAAGTGAAAAGGTCAGGCACATGACATGTTCCTGGGAGTGACGGAGGAATGAATGGGTTTGGTTCTTCAAAATTGTACAGGATTGAAGTAGAAAACAGGCACACCCTTGTCATTCAGGTCCAAATGACATCAGCCGTACCCAGTTGTACAGTCATTTGACTTCCAAAGACTGGGAAATATTAGCCAGTGTTTGCATATTCATTTAAACACTGTGGAAAAAAATGCCAGCACATTAAGTATGATATGAATATGGGCGTTTCTTCAACTATGAGCACTGCTTGCCCTGTGCATTTTTAGCAAATAAAATTAAAGTTACAAAATTAATTGACAAAAAAAGTGCCCAAAATTTAAGAAACACCCTTTTATTCATCTTTTCTTTTATTTTCTTAATTTTTATTTATGTAAATCTGCTTGTACCTGATTTATAAACCTTTAAGACAATAAATTACATTGTAAAATATTTTAACAAAATACAACTTCCAGTGTCAAAAAAAAATGCTGTTTAAAAACTGAATCTAATATTAGGCATTCAGCCACACCCAGCAACAGCAGCAGCAAATGCTCAGCGGCTGTGACACAGACGGGTAGCCAGATGCTCTCTGCTGGATCTCGGCACGCACTACAGGCCACCGCTGTGCCGCCTCAGCTCTGTTGCTGATGCTATCTGACAGCAGCGCAGGCTGTCTGCATGCAAAACCTCTGCCGCGTTACTTCATTGTTTCACTCCCAGCTGCACAAGACCTTTTTGACAAGCAGTGCGATGGAGATCTTGGCCGTGATGGAGAGAGTGCCTGCTGGGCAGAGAGAGAGAGGTCGGACTCCCTGCTGAATTCTGCTGAGGAAGTACAGTGAAAGACTAAAAAGATGACGAAATGAAAGAACTTACCGTGTCTTTCAGAAATCTAGAAACCTGTTCAAGCACAAACTGGCAACTTTCTAATACCAAAATGAGTGAATGGCCTTAAGGTGAGATGACATTAGCAAAATTTTGCAGGCAAAAATGTCCATTGTCTACTCATAGTGTAGATATGTATGAAGCACAGCTCACACAGAAGTCACTTTCAAACAATGCAGCTTTCTGATGGTCAACGTGGCAAATTTGACCAACTTGAACCAGTTGTGAAATCTGCTTATGGAAATCTTTCACCCCCAAACATAATTCTCAATTGTGTGGATTTGTATTGAAATGACTGGATTTTGCTGGCGAATATTTGCCAAATATTGGCAAACTGAGAGTCACTTCACTATTTCATTTGATAAAAAACTATTGTCAGACACACACAGAAACTCAAAGGTCTTCATTACAACCTGCCAAAAAAAAACTTATGACAGAAATATAAATTGCTACTGTACAGTAGATTTGCAGCACTTTGTTTACTAAAAATGGAAAGGAATAGCTTGTTAAAAGTGTTATGCATTAATTTGATAATAAATTTGTAGTAAATCTTAAAACACAATTCAGAAAAATTAAAACATACAACAGAATTTCTGAAAATCTCAAATGTTGAGCACTATTATTGTTAAAATCGAAATAAATTATTAGATTTGAAAGTTTTTTTAATGATTAAACATACTTTTTAATAATAACATTTTTTTTTAATTAAACCATTAAAATGGAATTTAGAAAAATTCAAACAGAAAACAATTAGGCCCTAATTACATAATTAAAGGGGTCATATGATGTTGCTAAAAAGAACATTATTTTGTGTATTTGGTGTAATGCAATGTGTTTATGCGGTTTAAAGTAAAAAAAAAAA